CCCCCCCCACTGATCCGGGTGCCCGGGGCTCCCCCCAAATCCTAGCGGGGCCTCCCTCCCCCTTCTGCCCCGAGTCTCGGCCCCTCGGGCCCCACACGGGCCCAGCGGCTCTGTCCCCCCCAGGCTGGAGAAGTTCAGGGGCTTGGCCACATCCCATCCTTAGGTGCTGACACAGCAACAGCTGTTCCCAGGCTTTAGGGCGAGCGCACCCCTGAAGCTCATTTTTGAAGCAAATTGTTTATTTTTTACTCCGCTTCCTTTTTGCACAGACTATTGCAATGTACAATGTGCTACCGCCGCTGTGATCCCCCGGCTATTACACTCCCCTGGCTCTAAGTCATTTAAACTCAGATCACTTCCAGGAGCACGTCATCCCCATTCAATACAGAAGAATCAGGGTTCTGAGAGGCTGCAGCACAGATACATGAACTGATTAGGTGACTTGGCCAAGGCCATGGAGAGTTGCTGTGGCAGAGGAAGAAATATACTCCAGGTAGCTTCCCATTTAAGTGTCTTCAACTTGGGCAGTGTTCAAGATGGTTGGTTAGAAAAAAGTTTTTAATGCCAACCCCGTAGGTAGGTAGAAGGGAAGATTCTTGCATACAACCCCAGCAAACTTTTTTTAAATTCCTGTTGCAGTTGGGCTGATGCTGTTAGGAGCCTTCAGTGTCTGTGTTGTCACTACCAGTGGTGTTTTCCCAATCCACTTCATGGTGTCTTCCCTTCTGCACCCTTCTCAATGCCCTCTTTCTGTAAGTTAGGTTAAACAGGAGAAAAAGAAAATTCCATGATCAACCAACATCTCAGTTACTGATGTGAACCCACTTAGTACTCGGATAGGACTGCACAGTTGCAGTGACATGGGCAAAAGAACAATTAAGGCCTATTGCCCTTCATTCACCAGGACACAAAGTAATCATCTACTAAAGGTGAGGAAGAAGTCACTATCTGAATCCCACCAAACATCATTGTTAATTTGGGTAACTTTGTCCAAGAACTACCCACAATTGTTATAATTCTGGGTTTCCTCAAGCATCCAATATAGGCTGTGATCAGAAGCACTTGATTGATCATCCGTCTGCACACAATCTAGAGCAGTAGAAGCATTCCTGGAGTCCTCTAAACACAGCACAGGGGACTGCAAGAATTTCTTAACTTTCAGGGTACGGCTAGAGTAGCGGGTTTTTCCAGGATACTAGAAATATGCCAGAAAAACTCCACCCTGTCCAGGGAATTGTTTGCTCTTCCACTTTTCTGCAGCAGAGCCCTGTATACCTCGTTCTCCAAGGAATAAGGGTTCCAGCGAAAGAGGAGGCTCTCCCTGGGGCCAAATGGCAGAAAAGCCTCTTCCGGAAAAGCAATCAGAAAAAGCCACGCAAAGTGCAGCGAGCAATGTGTGTAGCCTTTTCCAATAAGAGTGTAGTCTAGGCTTTGCCTCACTTCCTTCTGCAATCCGAATGTTACATAAGAGCCCAGCCCGCTACCACTTACAAAAGCAATGCTACATGGCTTTAAACACTTCCTGTAATCTGCTGCAGCATTTAGATCTTCAGGATCATTTCTATTTAGTGCGTAAATTAAGGTACACGGCTGGCAAGATGCTTGGCCCCCTTCAGCCAGCAGGAGGCACAACTGTTCAGCCACTTTGTAATTGTTTTGAAAGGGCTCAGAGGGACTCTGACCATAAGAGGTTGCTCTTTGCTGTCAGCAGTAGCAGGCTGGAACCCTCCACTAGTAAAAATCAAACTTACACTTACCGAGTCAGCACTTCCTACAGTATAGTGCCCCCAGGGACTGTGAAGTGCTAGTTAAAGAGGGTGGGTTTTTTTGGGGGAGCATATTGTGGCCCTGCCACCTGGACCGCCTCTTCCCCATCAGCACCCTGATCCTCATGGTGAGGACCTCCTGTACATACAGCCTGATTGTGTGGCACTGACCCAGTGCATGAGGTCACAGTGCCACCCAAGTTTGGGCCATGGCCCCAGTGCCCTCCCCCCCAACTTCATGGCCTCCGAGTTCCCGCTCGGTGGAATCAGTAACCAGCAGGAGTCTGACACGCAGACGGAGAGACGGCCCCATTTGTTTCAGTGCCAACGCGCTGGCTGCCATTGCGGCCGGCGTCGGGCACATCCAGGACTAACTTTGAGTCACTCCAGCTTGAGCTAGAAAAGGAGGCAGTAACAGACTCATCCTCTGGGGGTCGGGCACACAACAGTGGCTGGTAGGGATGTAAGCAACTCCCCCCCGCCGCCTCTATCAGAAAGAGGAGAGGAGAGGCAGGGAGGAGAGGTTGTTGAGGGGAGCAGGCTTAAAAGCTGGCTCCCCCCTCAGCTGCATAGGAAGGGGCAGTGGAGATGTTCCACCTTTGAAATATACAAGAACCCCCAAAGGGGCTCTTGTACATTTCAAAGTGGAAGCGCGGCATGGAGCCTGGGGCCAGCAGGGCACTCTCCTCGCAGCCTCTCCTAGTGGGGCTCTGGTACACTTCGAAGAGGGAATGCTACGCTGGCCCTTATCAACTGATCGAGCAGCCAACGGAAATCCCATCCACTAGTCCATTAGTTAATGAATTGAAATAACATCCCTAGTGACCAGTGGGCTATGCAAGCATGGCAAGAGCAGACCTCCGATAGTGCTCAAAGCTGTCCTTCATCCGCCGTCGCTCCTTCTCAGCCAGCTCCCCGTTGGTTGGACCCCCCTCCTGGAAAGGAAAAGAAAGGCCAGGCCTCGCTGAAACATGGGCCGGGAGCGTTACTTTCAGCCTTGCTGTACCGCAGGGCCAGGAACTACATGGACAGGCAGGAGTTGGCCCCAGAAGGACAAAGGAAAGGCCTGCGGGACAGGGCAGGGGGGGAGATGGTGGGGAGCTTGGACAGCTGCTGGAGCACATGGCAGGGCACTGCCTGGACCAGTGGTTTCCAGGTGTGCGCAATTCACTTGTTGACAATGAACCTGTACCAACGAACCGACTCAGAGCGACTTCATGGCCAAACCCAGCCGCTGGCAGCTGTTTGGAAGCACTCAAGTGTTGTGCTGGCAGTTTGATGTTCCCAGGTCCCCGAGGAATATTACAGCCGCATGCGTTCCCTCGGGCCCTAGTAACCTGCATGTGGCTGAGTTAGGCTCAGTCCCTGGCTTGCACTTGAAGCGCTCGGACCTCACTTAAGGGCGTCCAATCGA